TCCTCCCTCCTTCCCTCCCTCCTCCCTCTTCGCAAGTTCGACTCCGTCCTGTCGTCGCTCTTTGGCATGCGGTTAGCGTTGCGTATCTTGCAGCCGCACTCGCTCACTCTCACTCTCACTCTCACTCTCACTCTCACTTTCACTCTCACTCTCACTCTCACTCTCACTCTCACTCTCACTCTCACTGTCTCTCTCTCTCTCTCTCATCTCTCTCATCTCTCTCTCATCTCTCTCTCATCTCTCTCTCATCTCTCTCATCTCTCCCTCATCTCTTTCTCATCTCTCTCTCATCTCTCTCTCCTCTCTCTCTCTCTCTCTCCTCTCTGTCTCTCGTCTTTCCGTCTCTCTTCCCTCTCTTCTCTCGCAGGAGGATCCGGGCAAAGAGCCACATATAAAGGACTCTTCACCTGGAATCGTTTGCCCCGCCCAACTTGTGCAAGGCGTCCTGCCTTCTGCTACTCTGTGCGACTGCCTCCAAAAAGAGCGCCGTGTTTTTTCCTACCTCGCTGCCCTCCACTTTCCCATTCTGGAGCGCTAGCTTTCGCCCCCCCTTGGCCTCAAGTTTTTTGGGTCAGCTTTGTTCTACCAGCTGCTTCTTTGGGATATGGTTGTGAGCCATCGAAGCTTGATGATTGGATATAAGGCAACGCTGCCACAGTGGTTGGTGGACACCCCCTTGCTCCCAAGGCCATCACATCCTACTTCCGTGATTTTGAAGGATACTTTACCACCCCTGGTGATGACCACAGAATCAAGCGTCAGCTGAAGAGCTGACCTTCTGGGGCACCAGGGGGGGCAGCTCACCCTCTGAACACTTTCCGAGACTACACACCGACCGCCGCTGCGACGGTCTCTCTCTCTCTCTCTCTGCCTGCCACGGAACGGAGGTCGCGAGTGGTTCGTGGTGCGGAAGGCAGAGGTCCGGATGGCGGAAGACAAGACCTTGATCCCTCACGTGAAGATGGGGGTGGAGGCCGAAACATCGCCGGTTGCCACGGTGTTTCGCAGGTTTCGCTGGTCGGGTGGGGCCGAAGAACTTTCAAGTGCGGACCCGACCATGACAGTGTCTCTCCAATCACCACCTCAGGGGGTATGTGGATCCATAGGGATGGTGGCTTCGTGCCGTCTCTAAGGTCGGTCCGGGTTCGTGTCGTTCGTGGCAGGCGCGCGAGCAAGTCCTGACCAAGAATGGTCTCGAGGACGGGAGCTGAGCTGTTGAGGCGCTCACTGGCTCAGGGTATCTCAAAAGAAGTAGGGTTCCATGCCAACTGGTACCGATGAAGAACACATACGTAGGCAATCCAAGCCATCATTTTGGTTGGCGCGGTCAACACGGTCTTCGTGTTGGGTCTCCGCATCCATTCGGTCTTGGGTCTTTTTCTTGGCCAACCGGACACGTTTCATGCTGGCCATGTCGGCAAGTCGACGTTGTCAAGCCTTTGGAGCGCTAGCCCCCCCAGGAACCAACGGGGTATTCGGTATTGGCATTTTGCTGTTGGGTATTTTGTCTTCGGACCAACACTCATGGTCTTTCTAGGGGAAGGCATTTGCTTGACATCCCAACAAAACCGTTGGCCAAATCGACCAGGAGGACGTTGTACACTGAGAGGCTGTGAAGGTACCATCCATTCCAGCCTCCCAAAGGGGCTGTTGGGTCCTCTCCTTGGCCTCTTCAGGATGCTCCGGTGACTCTGCCTCATCACCCTCTGAAGAAGTTTGCGGAGGTCTGGGATTGGTGTCGCTTATTTATTGTTCCCCTGGGTGGCGCAGATAAACCCCTTTTCAGGTCTGGGCCCCTCTTTTGGAGGGGGCACTTTCCACGTTTCTGTGCTTCTTCAGTGGTGTTTCATGATGCCATGAATTTCCATTGACATGGATGCCCATTTCAATATTGCTTCTCTTTTGGTAGTTTCACTATGCCCATTGATCAGAAAAACTTGATTTTCTACGATCCAAGCAAACTGGACGCCGGACTATTGGATTTCCTCCTAACATATATATCTAACATCTTGGCCACCCTAACTCCACATGGCCCGGTCCATCAGAAGATGACAAGAAAGAACGCACACTGGCAGCATCCCCGGTCCTAGTCACGAAGACATGAACACTTGCTTTTCTCGTTTTTTTTTGTTTCTTTTTTTCTCGGGGTCGAACTCTGGATTGTTGGTGTGTTTTCTTTCTGAGCGAACGACTCATGAATTCATTGGCACGACGAGGGGCCAATGCGTGGACCTCACTTGACCTGGTAACGTCGACTTCTTCATGTGGCACCACCGAAGTCCAAGTCGACTCTGTTGGGCACCACAAATTGTACGTCCTTCAGCCGGAATTCTTTTTTCGGACCACCGGATACGCAAATATACGACCCTTTTTTCAATGGTCGACCTGGACTCCGAGGGCTTGTACTTGGATGAGGTATCTCAGGGTCTTGGTGCGCTTAGTAGGTGAGGGAGATCTGACAAGTCGGTGCTTGCGCCATGACAAGCCATCTCCGGCCAATTTGTTGATTCATCTTCCGTGAAATGCGGAAGAACATTGAACCTTTGGCAACTCATGCGGCATCCCTTGTGTCACCTCTATGTCTTGGGTCTCAAGCTTCAGGGGACCACTGATTGTCACACTGATGGTCCATCTTAGTCAGTCCCCTCTGGGTTTAGCCAGCCATACAGAGATTTCTTGGACACATCGGTCCGCTCCGCTCGTGCTCCGCACCCGCCACCCGCCGAAGCTCGTGGGCGCTGGAGGCCTTCTCGAGGCACTTCGACCTGATCGCCGAGCGAAAGAGCGTGATCTTCCACCTGAGGGAGTTGGCCAAGGCCGTGCGGAGAAGGACGCGTCCTAGCCGTGCAAACGACGAATGGGACTGGAATGGGACTGGAAGATTTCCGTTATAATACGCAGTATAATATAGTATATATGATATTCAAGCCAAAAACGATGAATGGGACTGGATGGGACTGGAATGGTCTGGATTGTTATTTAGAGTATAGTAATAATAGATCATTGACCCTGAAATCAACCACCCCAATGGGGATGTAAGATCTATGCCCCGCCCCCATGGAGTGTCTCGGAACGCCCTGTGAAACGCCGGCCAGCTCCTCACCCCCCCCGCCCGAGCCGTGCTGGTGGTGCCGTTGGCCGGTCTCCTTCAACAGCGGTTGGGGGACCAGACCAAGGTCTGGTCCCGGACCTGGTCCCAGTTGGCAAGCGATGATGTCTTTGGTCCAAAAAAGACATCGCTTACATGACATGGCCTTGTTTTCTCACACAACTGTGCCATCCACTCATCCATTCTGCACAACAACAGCTTTTGTTCTCCACCCCCCCCGCGTCCCGCAGTTTCTCCGGTGATCGCGCTTTCGGCAGGCCTCCGTGATGGCCAAGTACTTGGTGGACTCCCGCGCGCGGGTGGACCCCAGCTGGTACGCCTTGGCGGATGAGATCGTAAAGACCACCACCCCCGAGGCGTGGTTTGATGGACCACGCAGAGAGACGGACGTTTGGCTTAGAGGACGCGAGTCCTGCAGGGGCCTATTAGTGAATGAAGCCAATAGTGGAAGATAGACTCCTATAATCTCCTATAGGTGAGAGGAGATGAAGAGTTTTCTCCATCTTTCCTTTGCTTTCAGAGGGGTTTGTATAACTTATCATTTGACTGGATGCTTCAGGGCCGGCCTATTCGGCCGCGAAGCGAATCGGTTCCGTGCCCATTCGTATGGTGTACAAAGTGGTTTGCTCTTGTCCTTTAGAGATGCTAATGCACTAACTGCCTAGAATCCTAGAACCTGATTGACCCCTGTTTTGGAGCCAAAACATGGTCTTTTCCGCTTTTCCCATCAAAACAGAGGTCAAATGGGTTCTAGGTGTGTTCTTGGGATATTGTTTGAATAGCGGAGGCGCACCCGGAGATCCCGCAGCTGTGGAACATGCGCGGCAACTCGCGCATCAAGCTGAAGAATGGCCGGTTGATTGACATGGTGACAGGCCCCTTGGTCAGAGTAAACACTGTCTAAGCAAACAAACATGGATGGTCTGTCACTGAGTGAGAGACGACCATATTCTGGTTTTCATGGGCGTTCGCTCCACTTTTGTGTCTTCGCCATCTTCGTCTTTGGGGCGACTGTGACCGTGTTTGGAATTCTGTATGATTCGGTGTGGCCGTCTTCCTCAAACGGCTTCTTGTTGTGAGACTCAGGTGGACAGAGCTCCTTACAGGCCATCTATGGTGGCGTGGAGCTACTTGGCTGCCTACATTTGGTGGTCGGTGGTAAATGTCAGCCATAGTTGCTTCTGTAGAGCCTTTTGACCACACCACCTTCTCCCTCCGACACTGGCAGACTCTGGAACACCCCACCACCCCGAAGCGCTTCACCGCCGTGCCTCACCGCGCGCCGAGGTTTGGCTTGGACCGCTTTGAGCTCGCTCAGCGACATGCCCTCCAGGGGCAGCCAGGAATGCAACTGGGCCAGTCAGGCACCGCACTGCGCACGGCGCGTTGTCCGTTTTGGGCAGTCGGAGAGGAAGGGGCGGAAGGGGCGATCGCACGAAGGAACATCGAGGGGCATGACCGGCTTGAACTGGAGAGCGAAGGAACTCGGAGTTGCAATTTGTTTGTTTGGTTGGTTGGTTGATACATGGACCCCGTTTAATTCTTTTGCAGAACTCAAAAGTAGGTGCTTTTCTTTTTTTTCAGGTTTGGTTTTCAGGTCACAACATCACGTGAATTGGGCTTCGTAGGTCGCATTGATATCATCGGAGTTGACGAAGTCCGCTCGTGAATTCGTTTCCAACACGTGTGAACCATCAGGACTTACAAGGGTGACGTTGGACCCAGATGGCAAGATTGATCACTCGCTATGCGGAATTTAGAGAAGGTATCGACATTGCGTTCTACTGCATAAAATCAGGATATGAATTTTGTGAACAGTAGACTGTGGCTATCCCTCATGCGGGTGGTCAAATCAATACGCCATCATGTGCTGGTGCAACTGACCCCTACCCACATCAATTTGTCAGAAGTACAACTCACTTCCCACAGTTGGGTCCTATCACCTGTCAAGATACCGCCATAGATCTTTAACATGTTTTGCTTCACATCAGCTCCATCCTCCAGGCCGTCCAATGTTCATGCCGCAGCGCTTCCAGCTGGGACAGCGGGAGATGCCACAAGGCCCGGCGTAACAATGGAGGGCTGGGTGATGAAACTTACGTAGGGGTGTGCGTCAAAACCCGAAGAATCCTCGGCAATGTAGACTCTTGATGAACAAAACGATTTCAAGATCGTCAAGCCTCTCTTTTCGTAGGGGGTCGAACTATATTCAGTTTGTATACACTATAGTAGGAGGGTTCCTCCTCGACTCCTTCCGCCTCTCGGCGGGTCGGGCCAACCCGAGCGATCGGTCCCGTTGGCGCGGTTCGAGCGGTGCAGACGGTGGTTCGTGCGTCTGACGTTCGTGGCGGTCGCCGAACGTCGGGGGTGCCGTGAAAGGCAGAGGGCGATGTCTGAAGATCCTTTTTATAGTGCCCTTCAGTATACCTCATATACCTATGAAAGGCCGTGACGGACAGGGACCGCAAGTCGCGCTATAGTGCCTTCAGTATACCTCATATACCTAGAGTGGGTGTGGGAAAAGGCCGATAGAAGGTGTCGCTCCACTCCAGGTTGAAAACAGGGACCGAGCGTGGAGGGTTGGCTCCGAGTCACATCACCAAGTGGCCCAATCTTTCGGGTTGTGGACGTTGCGCAGCTAGTATATCACTCAGGATGAAGGGACCAGTCAGCTTCAAAGGCCCCTGCCGGTGTTCAGAGGTGACTTGGGGGCGTCCTTCATCGATAGAAGGTGCTGTCTTCATCTCCACGTGGATCGCCTGGGACTCCCCCCCCCACCCGGTGCTTTTGAGGCCGTCGATCCGAGTGTGCGGTGTGCGGTGTTTCTTTCGCTTCGACCTCAGGTGTCGACCTGAACTTGGACAAGTTCTCGCTCTCTTCAGAGGAGACCGACGCGGAGACCGACATCAACGGATGTTTTCCTTTTTTTCGGGGCGGACGAGGTTCACTCTGGATCAAAGGTGGTGGAGGATGCAAAGGGATGGACATACTTGAGGCCCCCGAAAGGGGTGTAGCAGTGTAGCAAAATGGAGACTTCAACTCCAAGGATTCTTTAGAGTGGCAACCCAGAAGAATCGAAGTATAATACAGCCCTCTGGGGATCGAGGCTAAGATGGGGGTATTTGGCCCCCTGGAAGGAGATAGATCTTAGCCAGGGGGCCGACCAGATTTTGAAGGTCAAAGGGGGCCGACCTGATCCAAACAAGAAAATTATGTTAAAAATAAAATCAGTCTGAGTCTATCTCGACTTGGATCTAAGGTTGGCTACCCCCCTTTTATCAGAGGGATTTTCAAGAGAGGTTGGGTTGGACCCCTCCATTTTATTTGGAAACTGATATTGGACAGTTATTGGACCAGAGAGAGACCATTGTGTGCAAACAGGGGGGTACAAAGGGGTACAAGGGTGACAGAGACCACTGGCTAAATTGGCAAG